GCGTGCGTGTGAACGTACACGTGCGCGCGTGCGTGCGTGTGCAAGTACACGTGCGTGCGTGTGAACGTACACGTGCGTTCCTGCGTGCGTGTGTGAGTGCGTGCATGTTCACGTACACGTGCGTGCGTGCGTGCGTGCGTGCGTGTGTGTGCAGGTACACGTGTGTGCGTGCGTGTGCACGCACACGTGCGTGCGAGCGTGCGTATGCACATATACGTGCGTGCGTGCGTGTGCACGTACACCTGCGTGCATGCGTGCGTACGTGCGTGCGTGCGTGTGCAGGCACACGTGTGTGCATGCGCGCGTGCGTGCGTGCGTGCGTGCGTGTGCACGTAGACGTGCGTGCGTGCGTGCATGCGTGCGTGTGAACGTACACGTGTGTGCCTGCGTGCGTGTGTGTGCAGGTACACGTGCGTGCGTGCGTGAATGCATGTGCACGTAGACGTGCGTGCGTGCGTGCGCGTGTACGTGCACGTGCGTGCGTGCGTGCGTGTGCTTGTATTGAACAATATCACGCATCTGCTTGCTGCCAACCGTTAAACTGCGCATGTGCGCATATGACGTCAATGTTTATAAACATGAAAACAACGTCATGTAGTAGTATATATGCGTGTATACATAAACTATATGTGATTTCAGATCATTATATGCTCGGGATTGCAATAATTGTAGATCCGACCTGTGCATAACGAAAATGTGTGCTTGAAAAAAATAATGATCGGAAAAATTATTGGTCCGGCCATGGCCGGACTGGCCGGACCGGCTCCGCCGGCCCTGTAATAGTAATGTTTTGCCAATTTATCCGGTTTATTGTTATTAACTATAGTTTATTGTGGTGGCAGTGGACAGTGTGGTCCAACGTACAAGGTTCTACCTGATTGACCCTGTTACATTACTGGATAAACTTTACTCAAATCGCATATGACGTGTTTCCAGACCGCATATTTTATTAATACTGCAACGAAAATGAATTCGTCACGCGTATATGGTACATGGAATCCAGTGTATGGATGTTTAGGGTTAAATGATCGAATCTGCCTACACCCGTGATTGTCATAATCAATTATACTAAGTACTTCTTTTGGTATAAACATTAAATAAAATTGCAGCAAAAGAATTTGTACTCACTTACTCGGAAGTGATTTTGTAGCCATGGGGGATGCACGTGATTATGGCGTGCCATAATATTTATATTCAACGTCTCCGATATAATTTATTACATAAATCTACGCTGAGATATCCCGTAACCGTAATAAATTCATATTTAGGAGAAGGTCGGGGGGATAAAGTAGGAGTTTTACACCCCGCTCTCCTGATTATAAGCATAGATCTACTTATAATAATTTATTACATAAATCTATGCGGAGATACCCCGTAACCATATTAAATTCATATTCATCACAAAATATGACTACTCATGAAAATATTGGGCATGCGCTAACACACTAACGTAGCCAGATTGTGTACTGACTGGTATATGCAGCGGGCACCGTACATGAAAAGTCTTCTTCCTATTTTTTAAGTGAGGTCTACTTATAGATTGTTATTATATAAATCTCTGCTAGAATACCTCGTCTTCATCTTAAATCCATAATTTTTCAAAAAATAATCTTCTTCTCAGGAGATCTTGTGCATGCGCGAGGACCCGTTTAGGCGTGCGATACGGACTGAATAAAATTGCATAATATAGCTTGCTGAAGGAGAGAGGGGTGGGAGACTGAGGAAAGGCGGTAGGAAGATAGCTGAGAGGCGGGAGAAAAAAAAAGAATGAGGGTGAGCGAAGAACAAGGGAGACAAGGGGAAGGTCGGAAGGTGGGGGTGATGAAGTAGGCGTTTTACACCCTACAGGAAAGGGCGTTCTCCTAATTATAAATACAGGTGTACTGACAATAATTTATTACATAAATCTATGCGGAGATACCCCGTAACCCTATTAAATTTGTATTCATCACAAAATATAACTCCTCTGGTGAGATATTGCGCATGCGCTAACGCTCTAACGTAGCCAAATTCTGTACTGACTGGTATATGCAGCGGGCACCTTACATGAAAGGTCTTATTGCTATTGCTTAAGTGACGACTACTGATAGAATGTTATCCTATAAATCTCCGCTAGAATACCTCCTCTTCATTTTAAATGCAGAATTTTTGCAAAATAATCTTCTTCTCGGGAGATATTGCGCATGCGCGAGGACCCGTTTAGGCGTGCAGTACGGACTGAAGAAAATTTTATAATATAGCTTGCTGAGGGAGAGAGGGGTGGGAGACTGAGGAAAGGCGGCAGGAAGATAGCTGAGAGGCGGTAGAAAAAGAATGAGGCTGAGCGAAGAACAAGGGAGACAAGGGGAAGGTCGGAAGGTGGGGGGGGGATAAAGTAGGAGTTTTACATCCTACAGGATAGGGCGCTCTCCTAATTATAAACACAGGTGTATTGATAATAATTTATTACAGAAATCTATGCTGAGATACCCCGTAACCCTATTAAATTTATATTCAT